CTACTACTACTACTACTACTTCTGTGTTGCTCCTTCCCTAGATAGTCTTGCTTCAATAACTCCAAGGCGGACAGAGCCCTGAAATGAAGTGAAAGGCTCTGTCTTGCAGGCTGACGCCATCCCTGTGACGAACAAAGGCAACTGTCTGTCCAAGCTAGGAAAGCCCTTGTTCTCATTTGGGACATGAGTCGACTGTTGTGAGATTCAAGAACCGGTGTTCTCTTGAGCAGGCTCCCAGTCGCAACTCGACCTTCTATATTAGTCACTGTTGATGTTTGGACTGCGTCAGAGAGCTCCCAAGACTCCACCGTCCTCCAGTTGTGACTCCGAGAGGTGCTTCTTATGGTAAGTAACCACCTGTAAGCGAAACAGACATCCTCCGCCCAAGATCAACCACCGCACGCCTCTTTACCCACCCNNCCCCCCCCCCCCCCCAACAAAACTCCAAGCACGAGGTCCCGAAGTCTGCATTCTCTGGGACCCTCGCAGCTCTGCACTGCGGGGCAGCTCTGTGAGCGGGGTAACCTTCGAGACAGGAGCTGAAACTTCAAGTTCAAACCATCCAAGGCATCACCCGCTACATAGTGTCACTATGCACTACATTTTATTACTATGCATCCCCGTCAAAGTGATCTAAAGTGAGCTCGTCCAGAAAACCCATGATTGAGGATGTTCTCAACTTCTGAAGTTAAAGAACCGTAGGCCCAGCAGAAGAAGTAGTAGGCTTCGACAGCTCGGGTGCAACATCCCGAAAGCTGGATTGAAGCCAGTCAGAGTGGGCAGCCCCTTTGCAGACCAGCACTTGCCACAACAACTCCTGTCACCTGTCTGTGTCCTGCCGGAGTCGCACATGTTTATGCTCACAGCTGATGCTGATGCGAGTGCTTTACCACGTTGCGACGTGGAGCAGTACTTGCTGGACAAGCCACCGCACCCTGCTACTGATGCTATGTTTTATTTGAGCATGCCTTCAGTCCAAAGTGGAGAATTGTGCGAAGTAGCCTCAACCCGCGGCTCCATTTTAGGCGCGGATCGTCCATGGCTCTTAGACCTCAGCCACTTCATGAGTGCTGCAGCCTCTGCAACTTATTGAGCATACCTACAGCTACTGGTTGCGTGGCAGAGATTTAGTCTCGCTCTTCCTGAGCAGCCAGTCCAGTGCAAGCAAAGCTGCCCGGAGGTCTTGCAGGAAAGGTCCGAAATCCAAGATATGCGACGATACTTCTGTGTGATCAAGGGTTGTGAGTGTAGGGTGCTGGGGTTAAATGGACAGTGCGGGAGCAAATCCCGCTGCCTTTCGAGCCGCATGGCCAGTGGCTGTCAGCTGCAAGGGGGGAGCATAACTCTGCGAACATCCTTGGGACCTGCAACAGGATCAAAGCACAACAGTTTCTGCTTCTGCTCCGGTCTGTGCTCTTTTCAACGGAATGGGACACTCTGAAAACGGGGAGGGTTCCGGGTGCTTGGGACTCTGGCTTCCAGGCTTGCCATGAACGGGGAACCTGTGGTAGGTGGCCTCGAGGGTGAAAAGGCCCTAGCTCGAGCGATGCTTAATTCGCATGGGCAGGAGGCACTTGGCCTGGGCCCGAGGCTCGTTTATTGGCAGTCGGGCCTTCGGCCTGAACCACCCGCAGCATGTCAAGGTGGGAATCTTTCCAGTAGCATCAGTTGGATCGACTATGGCGGTGAACCGTGAACAGCTTGCGATGTAGCTTCTGTGCTAGGAAGTGAGGTCCCACCCAGCATGAAGCTGGAAGTGAAACTGGGGTGAGACATTCTCTGAGACTCCTCAAACCCTGAAGCATCAGAAGCTGCGGCGGAGCCAATGTCTTCCATGTCCGTATTCATATCATGCCGTGCTTTGCACGGGTACAGAACTGTAGTAGTGCTGTAGTGCTCCAAGCATCTCCAAGCTACAAACCAACGATAAAGACACTCAGTGAGTGTTGAGCATGTGGATCGGGAATGAAGACAATCCCTGAGTTATATAAGAACACCTCTAACTTCTCTAACAACAATCTTCCTCAGTGAGTCTCCTCTATGTAGTCTTTGCCTGGTCCTGAACATGCATTAGCAACAGTCCCTAGGCCCTAGAAGTGGACGCTCAGCCTCACATGTAGCGACTCAACTGCGACATTAGTCAAGATCAGAGATCTACGCGGGTCATGTCACAATGTGGCATCCTGAAAACCGGCGCCTGTCACAACTTCCTACACCTGTCGTCGTGGTCCTTGCTTTCTTTCTTTGCTTTCTCGGCGCGCTCCGCCTTTTTGTGCTTCTTGCCTTTCTTGTCCTTCTTTGAGGCCTGCAGGTGCACGTATAGGAGTAGCGGAGACACTCAGAGACAAGCTGGGAGGGAGGGGGAGAGGGAAAGGGAGGGAGGGGAACAAGGGAGGGAAGGGGAGAAGGGGAGAAGGGTGTTTGCTGCATGTCGTGCATGTGCATGCATGGTGCTTGTGCTCGTCTGTCTGCCTGCCTGCCTGCCTCTGTCCGGCTCTTTGTCTGTTGCGGTTGTCGTTGTCTGTCCGTCTGTTTGTGAAGGTGAGTGTGCGGGTGGGGCACGAGCACGTGGCCAAGCCAGCACCGACAGCTGCCACTGCGATCCACTGCGGTGCAGACATGGGATGACCTGTCTCAATACAACACCTTAACACCACGCCCAGTGTCTATAGCACTGAGAAGCACGATTCGCATAGCTGCTACTTTCCTGATGCAGCCTGAAGATCCAACGACTCCGTCGGCACTCCTCTCAAGGCCTTGAGCCCTGTGGCGCGCAGAGGAAAAGAATCCGTAGTCGGATGTGCCATGTCTTTCGTGTGAAGCTTTGTGCATTCCAGATCCGAGCTGTTACGATAGAGTGGCAGCGGAGCCGGTGAGCTCCAGCCCGAAGCCAAGAACGGCCCACCCGGAACCTGCATGGAGGCTGGCGTGGGAAGGGATATGGTTTCGGGGCACCCGGCTTGGTGCCCGGCCCTTTGGCATATGCGACAAGCAGGCCGAGCAGCCAGGCGGGTTTGCGACCTGGTACAGGGACTACACCTGGGAGCCCAGTTTCTCCGCTAGCTCCTGGACAGCCTCTGCTGGGAACTCCGGCTCCCTTAGGCCAAGCAACCGCTGGTAGCAGTGGAGGCGCGACTGGAAGTGGAAGCCGTGAGGCAGTGAATCCTGAGCCAGGATTGCTTGTGGTTTTGCTAACGCTTTGGGAGCCGCCGGGCAACCCAGGAGCTTTACGACAGGAGAATGCCCCAAAGGGGTACGAAGTGCCCTTGAGCTGCTTGGAAGGAGACCCCCGGATGACAAAGTATCAGCCGGGATGAACACCAGTGATGCTATAGTGAAAGCCTTGACGATGGCAGTTTCTGGTGAGAGGAAAGTGCTTGCCGCGTGGTCGGGAAATACAAGTACCCTAGGGGCTTGGTTGCGGCAGCTGAGTTTCTGGGAGTTGGACAATCAAGTGCCGCGACACCGTTGGGGAGTGAAGTTGTTCCAAGCTTTTCCCGAGGGCAGCATTCCCCGACGTATCGCCAAAGGCCTGCCTGCCCATGGAAGTCGTGATGGCCGAGGCCGGCTACGGGGCGATACTGATTGTGGTGCTGGAGAAGCTCAAGCCGTACCTGGATGCAGCAAGGCCAGCAGCCATCGACGGGTACTTTTACCAGGGCGACCGGTCCAAGGGCGAGACATTTGCCAATTACATCTCTACCAAGGAGCTGGCCAGACAAGAGGTGGAGAGCTTGGTTGGCGAACGTATCCCAGAGAGGATCGCTGGCCGGGCTCTTCTTCGACAAGCTAGTCTGACTGAGGCTCAACGGGAGACGTGCTCTGTTGACCTTTGAGGAAGTTGCAAGGACGCTTCGCCCGTTGGACCGCACGGATGCACTGTTGCGACCTATGACCTTAGCGAGCCTGGTCACGAGCGCAGATCAAGCATCTACGTATTGGACACGCGAGGAGGACCAGGACCCTGAGGCGATGGAACCGCCTCGGCAAGATGGCGGAGAAGACGAATGGGATGATGGCCACGTCGGCTTCTACGAGGAGCCGGAGCTCGACGAGAACGGCGAGCCCATGTGCTACTTTGAGGCCGACCGGGAGTACGATGAGGAGGAAGCGCTGTACATATGGGCATACAACGATGCCTGCAACCAGATCTACTTTGACTCCGATCGGCAGGAAGCGGCGAACTTCCCCGCGTACCAGAATTCGCCGAGACATGTAGGCCCGGAGGAAAGGCCGGCAGTTCTATCGGATCGAGGACAAGAAGGGTAAAAAGGGCAAAGGCAAGGGTGCATCCCCTGGAAAGTCGTCAAAAGGGCGAGGGAAGCGATTTGCTGTCCCGCCCAGCCGGACAGCAGCCATCGGCCGATGAGCGGACAAACTTCGTGGTCAGCCAGGGCCAGGGAGCGCTAAACCGGACGTTCATGCAAGCCAGGGCGCCTCCTGGTGTGCCCAACGTGCCCAAGGACATTCTTGTCTTCGCGGGAGTCAGGACAGGCTCTGGCCAAGGATTGGTCGACAGTGCAGCTGAGGAGGGCGTTATCGGGTCTGGAGCCTTTGCCAGGTGCTTGCGCAGGCATCGGCGGAAACGCCCATGTGTTGGGCATATGGGACGTGCCCATAGGAGTTTGTCCTTCTAGTCACAGAGGTGCAGGACACGGATGGGTTTGAGACTCCCCTGCTCCCGGCCGGTGAGTGCGACCGTTCCAACCTCGAGGTGGCTGTGATCAAGGAAAGCCTGCAGATATGCAAGGGCCGTGCGAGATGGGTGCCGCATAACGGCAGATGCTCTCACGAAGTTTCCAGGGGCGCACCTTGAACCATTGGCGCGATTGCTAAAGAGCTCCGCGTTTGTCATTGCCGATGAGCAACAGACGCTGCAAGGCGGTAGACAGGGTCAGAAACTCCAGAAGTGGGAGGACGCATCAGGAAATTTTGATCTTTCAGGGGGCTGTGAAGCTTGATTCGCATAGCTGCTACTTTCCTGATGCAGCCTGAAGATCCAACGACTCCGTCGGCACTCCTCTCAAGGCCTTGAGCCCTGTGGCGCGCAGAGGAAAAGAATCCGTAGTCGGATGTGCCATGTCTTTCGTGTGAAGCTGTGTGCATTCCAGATCCGAGCTGTTACTTTACAGCGCTGGCCTCGTCTTCGTCCTCGGACTCGATCGTCTCTGTCAAGTCCGGCGGCGAGATTGGTTCCTGTGATGAGCATGAGATCGCCCAAGTGACAATGCGCCAGGATACTCAAAGCCAAGATGCTACTTCGGTCCGCTTGCAGCGGCACCATTTGCAGCTTCGGCAACGGCACCAGCCCCTGATGCTGCGAGGCACACAGAGGCCTCTCACCTGCGCTTCGCCAGTCGGGTACATTCACTTTCGGGGACTCGGTGGATGGCCCTGGCCTTCAGGACCAACCTCTCTGGCCAGAAGCGCTGCAGGCACGAGCCCAGCACACCTCGCAGCAGCCGCAACATGGCTCGTCCACAAATCTTCGCACGGCCGGGAGCTGCACTCAGCCATAATGCTATGCTGAGGAGCTGCAACAGAAACTGATCGCCCGTGGCACTAGCAGTATAATCGGCAGCACAGGCCACAAACACTCCTTGCAAGCGCGTTCAACAAGCACGAGGGTCACTATGGGGTACGCAAGTCCGACAGTACAACACGACGAGTTCGGGTTTCTGATGGCATCTCAGCCCAAGGTTCATCCACAGAGGGCTCTCCGACAAACAAGTGCAGAATCAGCATCAGCGGCTCGAAAAGCACCAGGTTCAACAACCAACTAATCGCCAGCAGTACGATGTAGCGCTGCATCTCTGGCCTCATGAACATCTATGCGGCAAGATTGTTGCCCACGCGTGTTCCTCTAGGTCATGCTGTCAGACTAGCAAGAAAACGTGCGCATGAACTCTGGACGCTAGTGGCTAGTGCCAAGCGACACTAAGACCAGCCGTAGCTGCCAACTCTCATCGGCACTGGCTGCAGAGGCCTCCGCCTGCTCATCCGGAGGGAGCTGGATCTCAATGCGCCCGGGTTGATCCGTCTGAGTGGTTTCCCACCTGGAGAGCCCCAGCGCTGACCGATAGCTCTATCACAAAGCCCGACAGGTCATAGGCATAGCACAGAAAACAGAAAAAGAAAACAGGATGATGTAAGCCACATGTATATCGAGGTGGAGAAGTGGAACATGTAGAAACACAGTCTCCACGCCACGAGGCAAATAAGCAGCACCTCGGAAAGCACGACAACCTCGCTTGCATTGAACTCTTCCGCGACGTTCAAAGACCTTGCCTCTAGCTACAGTACGGTATATCGAGGTATTTCTCCACGGACAAGCATAGAGAAACGCACAGATGCCAAGAAAGGCCCTTGTTGTGCGAATCTTGGCGCTAGGATGGGGAGCACCAGGGACGGCCACCAGTGTAGCGGGAGCAGCTTCCGCCGCCGTGGCCGCGGGCACCCGCGGGGGCAGCAAAGGCGGCAAATGTTGCAGAAGACATTCCACACGCGCACCTCAACATGAAGGCTTGCAGCTTGGCTGAACGTGAGTTCTGACTGTTGCGGAACACTGTTGCTGCCTTGGCTTCTGCTGGCGCCATCAGTACAGATGGCCATGGACCTAGAAAGTGGCGCGTGAAGGCTCTGTCACGATCCTCGACACTGAGGTCCTGCTGCCAGCAGGAAAGCTCGCAACTATGCATGCAACAGACCGTGCCGATCCGTGCTCCTTCGCTCTCACGACGAAACTCCGGCCCCGACAGAATGTTTGCAGAGCTCCGGCCACAGGAGGAGTGAGCGCTGCTGCCAGCACCGCGAGGCCCACGGAGGTAGACTCAAAGAGGCATCCAACTTCTGCAAGGCGAAACCTGAGGTCCAGTGGAGGTGCCATCTCGTGGATTCGACTTTATGAGCCAATGTCAATGTCAATGTGTCTTTCTTTGCCAGGTTGCTCATTAGCATCTCGAAGGCAGGCGGGTTCCTGGAAAGGTCGACGATGCTCGAAGCCACCTGCGGCGAACTTCCAGAGGCATCAAGACAGGATCATCAGAGTACTGCCGCTAGAGTATTTGCACCGAGTTATTGAGTTGATTCCGAGATTTCAGGCTTAGGCACCCAGCACCACAGACAGCCACACCGCGTTGATCCACAGGCTCGCATGCAACATCGCAGCTCGCTCTGGTGCACTGAAGATAAAGGTCTGTGAGTCGTCAGACAGAAAGAGGATCCTGGATGCACAGTGGTTTGAATGGAGGCTTGCCTCTTTACCAGAAAGCCTTGGAAAAGGGACGTTGCGCACAAGAAACGTGCTCAAATCGTTCCCAGAGGCTTGTGGTGTGCGAGGCAGGCTCGCCAGATGTGCTTTCGCCTGCACCTCCGAACCCCGTCGACGATCAAGCCACGGAGCCCCCGCCTGGCAAGCTTTCAGATGTTGCCGCGGACCTCAAAGCGAAGCGAGAGCCTCGGCTTTGTCGGCGGCTTGGAGGAGATCATTGCCTCCTCCGGGCGGAATCCCACCTGCAAGAGCCGAGCTTCGTCGAAGCTTGCTCAGCCCGGGCCCGGCCTCTTGAGCAGCATCGCGGAGCGGGGCATCGCGTAGCGAGAGCCCTTGCATGGGCGATCCTCGGCAGGCGACTCGTCCCGTGACCCGAGTCGTGTCGCCGCGACCCCGCCGCCAGGCCTGTGGCACTCGGTATCCGCGCGCTGGGCGTGAGCAATGACGGGGTGGCTTTCGACAATGAGGAGGTCACCACCGTGGTGCCCGGTAGCGGCTGGAGGCCGCCTGGAGGGGCGAGGAACTGTCGCTTTCGTCTCAGCTCGGCCTGGCCATGCCTGGCCTGGGCCCATGAGAGCCGGCGGTGGCCTCCGAACCTCGTCGTCTTCGACGTCTCCCAGGCCATGCGCCTGGAAGAGCGTGGCCAGGCCATCCTTGGCCTGTGCAGGAGCAGTGCTCAGAGCAGAGCCTTCAGAGCCAAAGGTGTGCAAAGGCGATAGTTTGGCCTGTCGGATGTCGAGCCGTGCTGCTGCCGAGGTGGACGCATGTGGCAGGCCTGAGCCGCGCCATGGAGGTTTGAGCACAGGGACACATATAGGGACCCTGAATCCCTGAACCCCTGAAAAGCGGCGGCCTTCTGCCCGTCGTACGATCTCCTGCGCCTCGGCGGCGCAGATGGCGGCGCTGAACTCGCCTGCGGCCGCAACAATTCCCCCCTCGCCTCAACTTAAAGACTTAGAATCTTAGAAGCTCTCGGGCCGCCTGTGGCTCGGATCTCCGCGGCGCGGCGTCGGATGAACTCCTCTGCGGAGGCAGAGTGGGAGCGAAAAATGGAGCCGACTGCTCAGGTCACCGGCCGCCTGCCTTCTCCTCAGCATCGAGCTGTTGCACCTCAACCTGGACGCCCTTTGCTCGCATGGTGCGCATTGCCACCCACCGCGCTTGCGAGCGCCAGCGGACCTGAATCAGGGCAAAGGCACAAACATCACCTGGCCCACTCACAGCATGGCACACACCCCTCCTCTGGGCCAAGGCCTGCCTCAGCGTAGATGGCCAGCAGAAGGTGAAGTGCCGCGAACAGCAGCAGCACCGGAGGAACGAAAAGGCCGCGCAAATTGTAGCTGTGGGCCTCAGGAACCATTGTCACATACGATCAAAGGCAGCGAAAGCCTGGATCAGAGACTGACAGTGGGACCGTTCATTGCAACTCCGAAGAAGATACAGTCTCTGATGAGTTGAAATCCTCCAAACCCTCGGCCTTGTCCAACCAGAAGACGGCCACTTCCCGTGTCTGGATCTGCACTTGTGGCGGGAACGGCGTCAGGGCTGGCCTGGGAGGAGGCGAAGACGTGAGAAACAGCATGAAAATACCAGTCTCGATTTGACTCTGGTGATGGCAATGATTTCTTGTCGCGGCGGCGGCGGTGCTTGCGGCACCCCCGCTACCCACTGCGCCAAGAGAACCAGGAAAAGGATTAACGACCGATCCATGCACCGGGCTGATTCGTGAACGATTCACAGAGATTCACTCGCTCCGTGGGCCTGCTGATTGCACTGCGCTCACATGTGCAATTTGGGCCGTGCGGCAGCTTGGAAGCCACGGCCATAGCAGGGTGCAGCGCCCAAGCTTCACATTCCTCGGCATTTTAGCAAAACTATGAAACCATCTTCAGCCGTGTAAAACGCTACGGCGCGAACAGCCAACCTCTGAAAAGACAGCAAAATCGAGGACGGCTTAGCGTTACAGAGCGATGTACGCCCTTGCGGCCCTTGGCACATTTCGGGATGCATGGCCAAAGACAGCATGTCTACAGCATTCGCATCATTAGCACGGACACCAACATACATGTGGTATTTTTGGGTTCCAGTTCGTTTAGCCGGAGTCAATGCAACAGCCGGTGACGTGATTCGACGACATTTCATGCTTCAGTCGATCTTGCAGTCCAGCAGAATGTGATCGGAAGGGTGCTTCCTTGTGCGCAACGCCTTCTCACAATATATCCTGATATGCTGTTCTTGCTGCAGCCATGCCTCGCAAATGACCTCCAAGTGACCTTGCTGGACAATGGGCCACTGACGGCCTTGCGACGGTGTTAGTGTTCTGGGTTCAATTCTGGTCTGCAGGATGCAGAAGCGCTGCAAGCAGAACTTTCCACGATGGGGTCTCAGAAAATACGCCTCATACAGAACCTAGAAGCGTGAGAAGCCTCTGTATAAGGGTTTGAGAAAGCCCCCAAATCTCAGCCATTTTTTCGGGACTCCCGCGCCTGGCTGGGCCACGAGTTCACAGCCCAAGGCCGGCACAAACCGCCGCAAGGGCGCCGACCAGGCCACGCACTCCAAGTCCATCAAAGGATCCAGGCCTCAGAAGGGCGCTGGGTTCTGTTTGCTATCCCATGGTAACCCACCTCAAGTTACCAAAACAGGGTAACGGAAAGTAAGTTCCTTAAGGATCTGGCGTCTCATGAGAAGACATGAAGCAATGCTATTGAGTGCATGGCTCTACGGATTCCAACAACTACCAAGATGCAAATCCCGCGATGGGATTTGCAAAGGAGCAGAAAATGACTGAAGCAATAACCAAGACAGGTTTCCGCAGTCAGCAGGCGGTAAGCACTCCACGTCCGGACCTGAAGAGAGGAACGCAAACGAGTCTATCACAGGTTGAATGTCAACTATATACACATTTAGGAAATGATCCTTTGCCGAGAGAATACTGCGAACTGCAGTCTCTAACAGCAGCCACTCAAGCCTCAGCGAATGAAAACCGCGCGACCGCATAGACGGGGCATGTTGTCGGGATTCTGAACACTGGCGACTGATGACAATTCTGCTTGCCTGCATTACGAACATCTGGTCAAACAAGAGTCTTGTTGTAGGGAGAGCATCATGAGCATCCTAGTCTGTGTATCTGATGATGTGCAAGTTTTCAGGGCAAGTCGCAGAGTAGAGACTCCACGTCGATGGTCGATGTGCTGGTCCAAGTCGTGGAGGTGGCAGTTGGAAGTGGCGGTTCCCAATCGGGCCCACCGGGTGCACTGCTCCAGTAGCTTGCATCCCACTCTGATGGGAGGCCCTCCTTCAAGGCAGCCAGCACCGTGTGAAGCGGTCTGATCGTATCATTCAAGTTCAGCACGGCAGGCTCGAGAGCAGCCAGCACGGCAGCCAGGCGCTGGGTAGGGGCAAGCGCAGGCACCTGTGCAAACAGAAAGCGAGCGAGCCAGCGAGAGCGAGAGAGAGAGAGAGAGAGAGAGAGGGTTTAGAGAGGCCAGAAGAACTGAGAGGGGCATCGTTGAAGTTCTGCCTCACACCAGCTGTGCAGCAGCGACGAGGTCGCCATCCCACGGGTCGCCAGGGATCCAGAGCTGTCGGTGAGCCTTGGAAGGCCGTTGTTCTCCAGATCCATTTGCAAGGCTCGGGTCAAGAGCTCCAGGGGATCCGAGAAGACGACTTCCAAGGTCGATAGGACAGCCCCGGAGGCCGAAGCCTGAGGCTGAGGGTAAGGTACCACCGGCCTGGTGGTGGTGCTCGTGGTGGCCGTGGAGAAGGTGCGGGTAAACGTCGTGCTGCTGGTGGTCAAGGTCGATGGCTCCGGCGCCCAGTGTCTCAAAACAGAGCTTGCATTCGAGAGCTCGTGTGCCTCCACCCAAGAGTCGATCCAACTGGCATAGATCAGAGCCATGGCATGCAGGAACACGAGGCTCCGCCTCGACATCGACGAAATCTTCGTCAAAAACAACATCTTGTGTTTTAGAGTCATTAGAGATGGCCATATTTCATCATCCAAGCAGCTCTCTACTCAGGAGGGTCAGCTGGCCAGGAGCAGGGAGTCCCACTGTCAAAGCAGAGCTACCCTGCATGGAGAGCTGCACTCCAAACACGCCGAAAAGCAGAACGCCCTGCTCGTCTGCCTGAAGATACGTGGTCGTGAGGCAAGCCAGGCAAACTACTTATGAATTTACTACCTCGACTATCATAATGGGAATCATCGCAAGTTAGTTCCTTCACGAGAATCCAGTTGCAAGCTCAGCATCAACGTAGACTGGCAGCTCGGTCTCCAGCGTCACCCCGCTTGGGCACCAGGTGTCAGTCTGAGCTCGGTTTCCACGTGAGCACCAGGGTATCTCTGTCGTTGTTGCGGAGGTCGTGGAAGACGTGGTGATGTTCTGGACAGCAAACCATCCATGCACAGAAACTCTGTCGTATCTACGTTGCTTCTAAGGCCTGAGCTTTTATGCGACATTGGGGACCCAGTGAACCCAATGAGCCCAGATTCTGGCTTATGGGTCAAGCTCCCCTTGTGAAACTTCACTACACCCAGCCTTACTGACAGCATGCGTTAATTCGATGCCGACCTGGGTTGTGGTGGAGTCTGTGCTGCTCGTGGTACTCAACGTAAAGCTTGTCGTTGTGGTAAGACTTCTGGTCGAGGTCCGACTCATCGTGCCTACAGAACCAAGATAGTCAACATGCCGAAGCTCGGCCTACCAGCAGCAGACACAGTCAACGAAGCACGTGCACAAAGATCTGCAGTCAAAGTTCTGGTCGATGACGTGCGTGTTGATGATGTAAACGGTGCGGTAGAGGAGTAGCTGCTGGTGCCTCAGAGTTCTGACACCATCTACAAGCACATCCAGTTCTTTGGAGATTTCAGGCCGCCAAGCCGCTGCTAGTCGCGGTCGTGGTGGTGTTGCTAGTTTGGGTTCCAGTGGAGGTGGAGGTGGTCCCGGTGACTGTGGATGATGTTCTGGATGTTGTCCTTAGAACTCGGGACTACGCCTCAGCCATGCTGTAGATTCTGAGGTCTGGACGTGCTTGTGGTGACCGTGCTGGAGGTTGGCACTAGGGACGGATCCGCCTCCACCTAGCATCTCTCAGTCAGGGTGACCGGTGGAGTCATATCACGGAACACATGTCAACCCTGAAGGCACCTAAAACTTCCGAACGCAGAATCGAGAAGCGACATCAACGACAGAAGCTCTCAGAGCTGCATCAGGCCCTAAAGCCCTATGTCCTGCACTTCACTAGACTCACTAGACCATGCCAAACTACCAAGGGCCCGGCCAAACAACCCCAGTGTCAGTGGGTTCAAGAGTTCCGAGCTTGCTTTTTCCGTTTCTGTATTCAGCGGAGACGAAGACAACACGGCGCCTCCTCTGCTGCCTGGAGCAGTACATCCGCAAAGGTCTGCCAGCTGGGCACCTGGAGCAGTTCAGCAACCCTTTCGGCTTCGCGATCAGAGAGGCTCGAGATGGCTTAAGCCTTCAGCACGGGCCGCTGGGGTTGGGCTTCTTTGCATCTGCAGTGAAGTTTAGTGTCCGAACTGCTACTCAATGATGGGGAAGTCGGATTTGGGGGGCAAACGATTTATCGGATACGTCTGGCTTGTGGGCTTGTGTGGAGGATCACAATAGCGACACCGAGCACAAGGCTGTGCAAATCTCGGCTGCTACCGGAAAGCCAACAAATTAATATTGCCAGTGCATGGGCATCCGCGGCCCTGACAGATGACTGTAGCAGCCGCGCGCGGTCAAACACCGCGCGGCACCATGCGTCTGCTGACCAGCCTGCCACGATCGCAGGCGGCTGCAGTGGCAGCAGCAGCAGCAGCAGCGGGAAGAGCAGTGGCAGCAGTACACCCACAGCGACAGCAACAACAAAACACAAAAGCAGCAACAATGTAACAACAATCACTAAAAGAACAGGAAGGAGCAGAAGAAAAGGCAACATAACTATGACAAGAATTGCTCGTCTGTTGAAAGCTTCATAAGGTGGGGCGAACCTGGGTGGGCGAAAGCCCCTGATACAGGAAAAAACACGGGCATGACAAAAATAACGGAATCTACAATGCTATCAGCCAGTCGTCTGCCAATCTAACAAAGATTATGTTTGCTGCTATGTCGTTTTAGCATGCGTCCGGGAGAATACATTTAGCAGATGCTCACGGTCATAACCACGGACCGTAAAGACTCTAGACACATTTCGTTCTGGCCCACCGGATTGCTGATACACACCGGCAAGTGTTCGCGTACGAGACCGAGAACATAGATACATTTTCCAAAACCCACGATCCGAATCGCCGTTCACGGCGCTTCTACGGTGAACCGGGGCAGTACGGTTCCGCTGTGATTCGCCCTGCTGCAAACTCTCAAGCACCACTTTCAGACTTAAGCACTGCGGAGTGCTTTCCTTTGGGGTTCACCTGCTGCTGGAACAATCTCTCGTGTTGCTGCTGCTCGGAAATGTGGGTTTGGGCGCTGGTGTGCATCCAAAGAATCGTCCGGATTTAGGGACAACTGAATCCGGTATTTACATTTACAAGCAAGCCAAATTGAATGAAATACGCAACACACTCAGAATGCGCAAATGGCTCAAACTCATGTAGCTGGGCAAATCCCGTCCAAACTGGAGGAGAGAAAGTAGGAGTAGCAATAGCAATAGTGCTAGTGCTACTGCCAGCCAGCTGAAGTGGCACTGGCAGTGGTAGCAGTGGTAGCGATGGTGGTAGTGGTAGTGGTAACGGTGGCAGTAGTAGTTAGCAGGAGTAGCAGTAGGAGGAGTAGTAGTAGTAGTAGTAGTAGCAGCAGCAGGAGTAGTAGTAGTAGTAGTAGTAGTAGTAGGAGCAGTAGAAGAAGTGGCAATAGCAGTAGTAGTGGTGGTGGTAGTAGCAGCAGTAGGAGTGGCAGTAGCAGCAGCAGTAGCAGTAGGAGTAGGAGTAGGAGTATGAGTAAGTGGTAGTAGTAGTAGTAGTAGTTGTTGTTGTTGTGGCTATTGTGGTAGCAAGTATCTAGTAGTAGGTGGTAGTAAGTAGCTGTAGGTAATAGTTAGTAGCAATTATTAGTAGGCGTAGTGATAATGGAAGTACAGTAATAGTCGTCGTCGTAGTAGAAGTAGTAGTAGTAGTAGAAGTAGTAGTAGTAGTAGTAGTAGTAGTAGGAGTAGGAGCAGTAGCAGCAGTAGCAGCAGTAGCAGCAGTAGCAGCAGTAGTAGTAGCAGCAACAGCGTGAGTAGTAGCAGTAGTATTCATTCCAACGCGGACTGAAGGTGCTCGAGTACAGCGAA